AGTCAGGGTCTCATCTGGTAAGGTCTGAGTACAGGTCTCATCTGGTCAGGTCTGGGTCCAGGTCTCATCTGGTCAGGTCTGAGTCCAGGTCTCATCTGGTCAGGTCTGAGTCCAGGTCTCATCTGGTCAGGTCTGAGTCCAGGTCACATCTGGTCAGGTCTTATTCCAGGCCACACCTGGTCAGGTCTGAGTCCAGGTCTCATCTGGTCAGGTCTGAGTCCAGGTCGCATCTGGTCAGGTCTGAGTCCAGGCCTCATCTGGTCAGGACTGAGTCCAGGTCTCATCTGGTCAGTCCAGATCTGATCTGGTCAGTCTAAGTCTCATCTGGTCAGGTCTGAGACCAGGTCTCATCTGGTCAGGACCTCGCGCTGAGGTTGCACTGCATAGAGGCGCGTCCCCCCGGTGGTGGATTGGGGATCCCTGWTCTTGGTGTATAGGGGTGTGCCCAAATAAGCTGAAAGGCGAATAGGGTACCGTGAACCAAWAGCAGCCGGGCAGGTGGGGCTCGATAGCCTTGACAGGCAACCCACCAAGGAGAAGGAAAACTCTGATGTAAAACCTGGGTAACGTCAACACTCCTCAGTCGTCCACCCCCAATGGATGGCAAGTTGAAAAGACTTTTAAATCGAGCGGACAAGGGACCGGCCCCCAGCACCCGGTAGAAGGAAGTTCTAAAATATCATGGGACCCAGCCTGCTGCACATTGGGCACGGATGCTGCAGGTGGCCCTATGACCGTGCCTATGGCCTGTCTGGTGGGGAACCAGGCGAGATGGGCCAGTAATATAGTGACTGGAACAACCTTTACTCTGGCCCCAGGACCTGATGCTTATGTGTTGGGTCCCTGGCAACCAGAGGGTTTAGTTCCCTGGGGCTCAGTGACGGCGATGGCTTCTGCCACTGCTGTCGCTGTGTCTACAGGGAGTATCTAGTGYGAGTGTAGCCCCTTGACTGCACCCCAGCGGGGAGTGGTCGGAGCCTCACAAGCTCTGGGGTCTCCAGGTGATGAGGACACCGACATGATGTTGGTGAGTTATATTCTGTAGTTTTAGGGATGATGGATTTTATACAGAGCAACTTGCATCATTGTAAAGATGCAAGCACATTGTTGTGTACCTGCCTTTGTACGATGCATAGAGACATAGCCTTGATCCAGGAACCTTGGATAGTTAAGTCTATGGTACAAGGTCTGGGACTCCCTGGCGGCACACTTCTATATGTGAGAAGCCGCAGACCCAGAGCAGCAGTAGTCCTGACGAGGTGTGAAGCCGGGTTCCTACCAAACGCGTCTTGAGCAACAAAAACGCTCCTGACAGGGCTCTAGACTAACTTTTAGCACTGGTTGCACCGGTGCGCCTAACATTTTTCCTTAGGTGCACCAATCCAAAAGTCAGGTAAACTAGGGCTGCACAATATTAGGAAAACCTGCGACGTGCGACAACAGTGCTTAATATTGAGATGATGATATGATTAGCTATAAATGAACAAATACATAAGCATGTAGTGTTGATATCTTTCTGCTTTGCGTTCAAAGCCAAGAAAACAACCTAAAAAAATAATCATTTCGATTCCAGCCTGAATTTTTTTTTAAATATGAAGAGATCCATCCAGTTGACCAAATACATAAAGGGC